TGTCCTGGTTTGCTGTGCTGCCTCCTAGTCGCCACCTTGGTTTGCTGTGCTGCCTGGGGATGCTCAAATGGCTCCGAGAAAGGAGTACTAATGTACGGCTTCTCCACTGACACAGAGCGGAGGAAAACATGTCTGGCTCAAGTCAGCAGGAGCAATTTCACGACCAACAGCAAAAAAATATGTGATGTAATTATATACAAACACTGCATTTGCACTTTTTCACAAAACGAAAACCACACCATTGGGAAAGCTTAATGTTTTGTTTAATACTAAAAAACAGGGAAAGGCTTGAAAAACACTGAGAGTTGAGACTCAGGGTGCAGGGTGAGGGTCTCAGTGCAGGTATTCAGGCTCCATTGAATCCCCCTCTGGTTCTTGTGCTGAAAGAGGGAGTAACAGACAGGAGAAAGGGTTATACACACCTATATAGCACACCTATTGGATGGGAAATTGCCTTGGGGAGATAAGGTGTTTACTTATATAAAACAGTAGTATTAAACTTACCTTGTGTGTTCACTCTCACTTAAGTCCCTCTCCCTTTGCCATCAATCCAAAATCAGCTGAGCTGCAACATTATACACACAGGTAATAATCAACATAATCACAAGGACACAATATGGCTCTGCTAAAAACACTCACTCTTACACGCACCAAAGTTATATTTATCTAATATTTAACTCCCTCCACCCCCGCATACAATCCCGTTTAGAAGCCCCTCTTCTCTAATTCAACAACGTTGGACCAAATGACATTAAGAGAATGGAATTTACAATGAAAAGGCTGTTCAACGTCTGTTGCTAACTTGCTTCGGTATCCTAGCTTAATCTGTTATCTGTAAACGTTCCCTAAATCTACTAATTTAGGGATAATCCACTGACATCCTTTAATACACATGTTAATTTGAATCAGATGTACTGATCATATCCGCAATATAAATCTTTAAACTTCTTCTTACCTTTAAAAGTCCGTCACGAACGGTCTATTATGCTGCAACTCTACAGCTCTGCTAGCCTTGGCGCTAACTTCCGGGGAACGATTGAGAGGCTCCACGATCCGCCATTGCTGTAAAAAAGTGGTCCATTGGAGTGAACGGAGATGTCGTAACTCTCAGTCTATATGGCGCTGGGTTAACCGATATAAATAAGAGTCGCAGTGATTAGCTTGGCTTCTTCTACAGAAATGTAGTTTTAGAGTTCTGAATTGTTTGACCATTTATGTTGTGATGCAAAATAGAATCAGCGTGATTCTGTTGATAAAGTGCATGAATTTGACTCCAGAGTTGGTAGTGCAAACCCCAAAGCTGTTGTTAGTGCACACCCCGGCCTCTACTGTAAAGATCATGGTTTTGGGTACATTTGTATACATATGTTGTATCTCGTGCTTCAAGTAAATGTGGGTTGTTCTTTGTATTAAATTAAAACCTTAGTATTTCTCTGACCAGGTGTAAATGTTTCCTTAAAACAATTATGTTTTTGCAAATATAAGTTGTATACAAATGCAATGTCTCTGAAACAAGTAACCAAAATACACATGTTAATAACCACACTTCCAATACATCATAACATATCATAATCAGTAACAAAAAGGGCAAAACTGGAGTTCCATTTGTCTTGTTCGTTATGCACAAAACTGCACTTTTAAGAGGGATTTTACATTTTTTTTTAGAATGTCTGAATTCCCAGGGGTGGTAAATGCCAGTTTAGTGTGAATAAAAGGCCAAATACAAGAGTAAAGGTTCTAGACTCAATGGCATCATTGTAAACACAGAGTGTTGTGTGTACGATACTTAAAGCTTGTCCTCATGCACCCTTGGTTGTCCCTCTTAAAAAAGCACATTTGGAAAGCCATACAGCCACATTGGTCTGATGACTAACTTTAGTTGGGCACATATTTTCCTCTAGCAAGCTTCCACTCTGAAAGGAATTTGGTTTGAGCCAGTGTCTGTGGATTATTTGAGTTTCCCAAACAGTGAGTGGTGTTTCAGAGCTGTGCCCTCCAACACGTAGACTCACAGAAGGAAACGCTGACACACCATACGTCAAGGTTATGACCTAGCTACAGGCATGGTGTGAAAGCCCCACTGGTAGCAGGTACTGTGACTTCCCAGTGCTTCTCAAGCTGTCCTGTTTTTGCTTTTCTGCACGGCGTTGAAAATCTAAGGCGGTGTCTTGCGAAATGGTATAGCGGCGTAGACATATACTTTGTGGCTTTATGACAGCCAGCCAACCCGAGGCATTTTAACGCCAGGAATTTGGCTCGGAAATTCTTTGCCCAACCTGGCTGACTGACGGCTTCAAAATGACCGACTGGCTTTGGAAAGGAAGGAAACATCTTCCTTCCCTCCATTGTGCTGGGCAGGAAAAGATGGACTGCAGCCAGCTGACAGCTGTTTCCTGGTGGATGAAGGAGGAATGGGTGCGTGGGTGGATGGGCGGGTGGCTGCTGTTGGTGTTGTGCTAGTAGTGCGTGAATGGGCTTTTTTTCTGCTTGTGACTGTTGGTACAGTTTCATGAGAACTACACATCTGAAGGAATAGATTAGTTTTATTGCAACATTTTTAAAACTTTTATTGGCTTGACGAGTAAATGACATTTATATTCCGTTTTTTCCCACCAAAACATTGCAACACAAGGCCTTATGAAAGGGTTGAATGCATTTTATTCCTCAAAAACATAAACAAAAAAAGATGTTTATGAATAATTGAGATTATTAAAACATTACATCCCTGTTTGCTAGCTTACAGTCTTTTAGCATAATAGTGTGAAAGAAGCAGCAAGACTCTTTGTCGGTTCAGTAGCACTACGGTCAATAACTGTACAGGATACCTTTAAGCTAGCTTTATTTAATTATATTTCTGTTGTAAATGATTGTGATTGTTGTAATGTGTTTTTATTACATGTACAGCACTTTGGCTCGACCAAAAATCGCTTTTAAATGTGCTTTATAAATAAAACTTGATTTGATTGACAGTTCAACTTGAACCTGCTTCAACTCAGATTTTGTGTTGCAAAATGACTGTTTCAGTTGAGACAAACCCACCCTAAGGTTGTTGTTTAAGCTTTTTAATAATTGTCCTTATAAGATCATTTTAAAGGGCCGTTATTATGCGTTTTGGGGTTTCCTCCCTTTCCTGTAGTGTGTTATCGTGCATTGAAATGGTCTACAAAGAATACAATTCCAAAGTTCCCTCCACAGGGAGTTTCTCTCGCACATATGCCATAAGAGCATGAGATTGCATTCAATTCTACAGTATACATAAAGCGTGCATGTCATTTCCCATATTGCTTTGAACCATACAGTACAGTTTAAATGCGGAATGATATGTTTCTAAAGTACTGTGCACACTGCTCCCCTGAGGTGTGAATGCAGCTGAATCATTTGCTCATTTTAAAATAGATTTGGTTTGAATGCACTACTGTACTTCCCTTACGTAAAAAAGAAAAACCCTCTTCTGTTAAACCTCTCATCCTCTAGTAAGATGGATGTTTTCATAAGGCCATCATTACAAACTACAGTTAGCCATCGTATTACTCTGATGGTTCTGCGGTTATACTTATTTTCTGGAAGTAGACGTCATTAGCGTGGTTTCTGCTCCGAGGCCAAACCAGGCTTTCTGTGGCTTTCCTCAGCTGCTTCTCCTCACAGTTGTGATGTATTTATTCTGTGAGTGGCTTTGATTAGAGCCAATCACGCCAGAACAGTATAAGTGGTTTTATATCAAGCTGGTTGCCTAAACCCTCTTCTCAAAGCAGTTTGATCGTGGCTGCTGCTCTTGTGTCTTTACAAGAAATGTCAGTGTACAGAAAATATGACGATAATGCTCTCCATAGAAGGAAGGCGCTAATCTTTATGGCGAATGCAGCTGCATATCCTGTAGCTGCCTGTCAATACAAGCTGTTTGTGGTTTACCAGTGAAAAGCTTGTAATATGAGGCAGCAGCCACACAACACACTTCAGCTCTAACAAGCATGGAAGCTACTTTTGATTTCTCATCAAACATTTGGCTTTTTGTTGCACTTTTTGAATGAAATTAAAAAAGTGCAACAAAAATGTACTCAAAGTTCTTACACTAAAGTTAAAGAAAGAAATGCGCAAGAAGGGCATAACATAAATACAATAAAGACAGCTATAAAAACTTCAGAAGTTAAATGTCTAAAAGAAAATAGAATAATTCTATTTTCATAAACATAAGAAGTTAAAGTCAAATTCAAAGATAAATAGTATAAAATAGAATAAAACGATTTAAATGATATAAGAAATTAAAGCAACATTGTGCAATTAAATGAAACGATAGAATACAAATATTTAATTAACATAAGAAGTTAAAGTCAAATGTCAAATACAATTTTTAAAAGAGAACATGAGGATTTAGAGTAACAATTTTCAATAAAAAGATAAAACAAAAATACATTCAAGATATTTATAAAAACATAAGAAGATAAAGAAAAATGACCAGTAAAAGAAAAAGTAGAATACAAATATTTATAAAATCACAAGTTAAAGTGAACATTTGCATATTGCACTATAGTATATTACAATATATAACGCATACTATTATATGAGAAGTTACCCTTCATTTTGGATTGTTCCTATATGCATGTGCGACATTATCAGATTGCGCATGCTGACTGGTATTGGTAAAACAAGCCATATAACCAATCCAGTGTCACTGAACTTCAGTCAATATATTAGTCCAAGCCACTCCTTATCAGCTTCTTTGTAAAATACGTGTTCTTCTTACATCTTTCCGCCATGTTTTCAAATGATGTACAACTGTCATCCAGTTTGTTGTATTTCTCCTGTGGGTGCCGTGCAACACTGTAACTGCTTTATTTTGTCTGTATTTTGCCCCACATCTCTGCCTTGATCCATAACTCCTATCTGTGGTCTCCATGGCGATAAAAAAGCAGCTGCAACAACCTCGCTCCCTCTGTCTGTTGTCCCCTGCTATTGTTAATCCCTTTATTCTTTCTTCCCCCCCCCTCTCTCCTCCATTTCAGCCAGGTGTGTCTCCTCAGCTACCTCCTAGCCTTATTCTTCTCACCTTTCCCACCACTGTCGAGGTAGCCATGGCGACCAGCGCACTGCCAAGTGACAACCTGCCAACGTACAAGCTGGTGGTGGTGGGGGATGGTGGTGTCGGGAAGAGTGCTCTGACCATCCAGTTTTTCCAGAAGATCTTTGTGCCGGACTACGATCCCACGATAGAGGACTCGTATCTGAAACACACAGAGATAGACGGGCAGTGGGCCATACTGGATGGTGAGTGGAGCAGCATGTCAAGGGGACATTCATTTTGAAAGTGGAGAACAGTCATGCCTCTGTTTTTTACAACATTAAATATGCCAATAAACAGCCCACTGGTGAATGTGTGAAGCTGGTAGAGATAGGCGGACAGTGGATCGCACTGGAAGGCATAGTAGAAAGAGAAAATAACATCAGCTGCTAGGAATTATAATACGAATAGAAACAATCCGTTTTTAAACAGGTCACATTCACAAAACTGCACACTGTCCTTGTTTAATGAATACTGCAAACTGGATGAGTTGCATTAGAAAATAAATGTACCAATGCTTTTGTTTGAAGGTTTTGGCATTTTGTATGGGTTCCATTCATTGAGTCAAAACAGACATTTGGGTTTTTAACAAAGAACAAAAAAATGAAACACCAAATGGGACGGCAGGAGCCATGGTATAGGAAAAGCTGACCACATAGTATACTACATGCTCATACAAGACATAAAGTACTGTATGCTCAAAGCTATAAATCCTCTGTTTGGATTTTGAATGAAAAGGGCTGTAAAAGAGAAACCCTTCCATGCAAAGTCATACATTTGTGTCCCTCCATCCTGGCAGTGCTGGACACAGCGGGCCAGGAAGAGTTCAGTGCGATGAGGGAGCAATACATGAGGACAGGAGACGGATTCCTCATCGTCTTCTCTGTGACGGACAAGGCCAGCTTTGAACACGTCGACCGGTTCCATCAACTCATACTGCGGGTCAAAGACAGGTAACAGCAGAAACCTCTTTTCTCCATTCACACAACCAATGAATATTAAGGTATGATTCTTATCGTGTATACAAAACTCCTGTTTATTGACTTTTATGTCAACTACTTATTTTTACTAATGCAGAAAATCAAAGAATACTGGGGGCCCTGAGGGCTCAACAAAATATCAAATGGACACAACACGAGAAAATAAAGAAATACCCTTAACAGTTTTAACATAGCACGTGAAGCATTTAGAGAAAGCACTGCAAATAGAGAAGCTCACAACAGAACATTACTGTTTCCAGGGGATATTAAAAACTGATGCACACACCTGATCCACTCTGGTTGTTGTGATCACATTTTGCTAACCATCATTGTGACGGCATGATTGAAATACTTTCATATATGTATAATATATAGGTTGGTTAAGATGTTTCTTCATTTACTTGCATTGTGTCTATTCAAGCTAGTTGTCTTTATTTGCAGTATGTTGAATTTAAAGGTTGATGGTACCTTGACATTTCTTATAGAGAACTCCAGCCCAAAGACATAGGTGTGAACAAAACAGCAGCAAATGTTTCCACATGTAAGAAATGTGACATATCTGTCCAACCAGCCTCACATTTAGTAGTCTTTAAACTGTAAATAAACCTACAATGAAGTCCTTGTTTGATTACCCCAAACATATTTCAAATATGCTATGACGTCTGCTTAGCATCCCCTGTTTCTTATGAACTAATAAAAACAATTCGAATGGCTTTGTCTAAATAAAGTCTTTTTGGGAAAGTCAATCCTAGGACTTGTTGAATCTAAATAGTTGTTGTGCAGTTTATCTACCCTAATCATTTAGACAAGAAGACAAGAAGACAATGCACCCAGAAGTTCAAAACAACCAGTACATTGAAAATCTGTTTTGTAAATAAAGTAAGCTACCATACCAGGAACACAGAATTACAAAAAAAGGAAGTTGCTCTGTCAGATGATTTCTTACCACCACTGATGTTGTGTGGGTTTTGAATACCATGTCTGTGATTGGGCTGCACCTATCAAGTTTTTGTCCAAAATGTTGTAACCAGTAGAAATGTTGGCCTTAAAACCTAAAAAAAGATACAAAGTGAGCTCTATCACACTATCCTCTGATGTAGGGAAATACACAATGTGTCTAGCAGTGTCACATCAAAGAATTGTATCCTCATATAAGGCCATCTTTGACCCCCCTCAGGCCTGTTTGAGTTCTGCTGAATCGGCAGACATGGTACAATCCGAGAGAAGATTTGCATCTGTTCTCTGACAATGACTGACTGTAGCCAATGAAACGGCTTGAGATAGAACAAAAATAGAAACGGGAACTAAGCTAGTTGCTGTGTGTCCACATTTAGAGTTCCTCTCTAGCTTATTTTTCCACAAGATTTAAGTATTGCAGGAATCTGACACCTCTCAGACAATTTGCAAAGCCTTTGATCTTTCTATTCAAAATGTAGGCATATCAACATTGGCCTAAGACCATGAGACACTCTCCAATTGCTTCTGAAATGATTGAATGTAGTTATAAAGGGATACCTGACTTTGTGTGTGTGTGTTCTTTTGCTTTCAGGGAGGCATTCCCCATGGTGCTTGTGGCAAACAAAGTTGACTTGGTCCATCTGAGAAAGATCACCACCGACCAGGGCCAAGAGATGGCTGCCAAACACAACGTAAGCAGTGAATTTGTTTCAGCCCGTTTGCCCTAAACTGATCCCTATAACAACGTTTCTAACTGGAGTTTCTTACAAGTGCACATGTAAGGATTTTTGAAAGAAACAGTGAGAGCAACGTCCTTGTATGTGAAGGATTTAAATCAGTCAAACTGAAATCAACATCAAAAGGTTAATGTTGTTTCCACAGCTGCACAGTAGACCATTCTTGAACCAAACAAAAACAAGATGTAAAGAAACTATTTCTAAATGGAGCCGTCTCTGTGTAAACAACAATTTGGTTCACATTATCGTATTCCCGCCATTTTTGTAGAGAGCTCTATCCACACTGAAACACCTGAACATCATGTCATGTGCTTCTTCTTGGCCCTCATCAAAATAATTGGCGTACTCTCAGTAAACGCACCACCACCATTAAAAGAGACAGAAGCAGGCAAAAATAACTTTGAATAAAGCCACAAGCTGTGATCCTATCATGTGCACAAAGGATCCCATACAGCATTCACACATTTAACTCACATACAGTATTCTGTAATTCCAGGGATTTGACATCTTGGGGCTTTTCAAAGTCACACTTTCTCTCTTGAAATCAAAGGCCTCTTTTCAAACTTTTGATGTATTGAAGTGATCATATGCAGCGAATCAGTGAAAACACTTGGGGCTGTTTCCAAACTGACTATCATCTGCCAGTTGAATCAGTACGGTGATTAGCCTGTGATGTTTTTCAAAGGCTGAGGCTTATGTTCCTTTACCAAATCATATTATGTCTCCCTCTACTTTATATTCATGTAGGTAAACTCCATTCATAGCCCAACCTTATTGATTCTGTTAAAGCTGGTATTTCTACAGCGTTGCAGATATAGACTTGGCTTCATCAAGAGCTTCTAGTGATGGCTGCGTAGGACTGTTTCAAATTCATATGAACTTTATATTTCCCAAAAATAACTTTTAAGTACAAAATAATTGCCCAATTTATCTCAATAAACATCCCACTTTAAGCCTTTAAAATAAAACATGTTCAATGCGGTAAAATAACTCCAGTTTGCCACACACCTTTTAATAAACATGTACTCTATAAATAACATTTACAGTACATGACCACTATTAAACAATACTTTTTTTTCATTTTAAGTATGATGACGTAAATAAATATGACAACAGACATCTAAAACGTCTGTAGAAGTGTTAAAAAAATACATTTAGTAGAGTTCTAGTAGTAATTCCATATTTCAGTGATATCACCCGAATGGCCCTTATGATTGAATTTGTCAGGGTTTAGAGCTGAGCAGAGAGGATGCCAAAGTGATTATCAAGAAAATCCTTTATTGCAGGTTGTCCAGGAAATAAAAGAGCTGGGCAAAGCAAGGCAAAAAGAAAGGGAAAAGAAACAGAACTCTCTCTTTAACGTCAAACATCAAGAATCTGACAACAACTGAAAGAAACCCAGAACTTAAATACATGCAAGACTAATCACAAGGACAAGCCACAGGTGGGGAGGAAAGAAAAACACAGGGGCATAATCAAACTGGAGGGAAATCACAGAAACAGGAAGTCAAAACAGACCTAATACAGGGGGTGAACACTTTTTAAAATAAAGCAGGAAAACGCAGACAGATTGTGACATTAAGAATAAAACGTATATTGAGATATTTTTGAGATATTTCTGCTTTCTTTCCTCCAGATAACTTATATTGAAACCAGTGCCAAGGATCCTCCAATGAATGTGGACAAAGCCTTTCATGAGCTGGTCCGTGTTATAAGGTAACTTCATTTACTTTCCGTTATTCTCTATTCTCTAATAAGGACCCTTAAAACAGCTTGAGAACACTAGTGATTGGCCATTCAGACTCACCCTTTGTCCCCAGTGTGTATTTCCCTTCTTTAGAGATTTGTGGATGTCTTTATGAGATTTTTGTGGAAAAGTAAAAGTGCCGTTGGTATTTCCTGTGTGACACACATGTATCTTCAGAATAATACGATTTATGTCCATGTTTTCAATGTGGTCATATCCTGCAAAGGGTTTTGTCATGTTTAAGAGCCCGGATAAACACGCTGTATTTCACTTTTGAGAGTCCTGATTGTCCTCATGGCAGCTGTTTTGGCACATTATGGTTTAATGATGGATAAACATTGCCCTCTAGTGGTCAGACTGTAGAAAGTCAGTGATACAGTGGTAGGATAAAGTAAAACAAATGGTTGTGTATTTTCTGACTGATCAGAGCAGATCAGGCAGAAAGTGTTTCCATCCTCTATGTACCCTCCATAGGCTGCTTTGAACCCCCCTCTATAAAATGTTAATGTAAAACCCAAAGAGGAGACTCATAGTATTGATTGGCTCTAGGTTTAGGATGACTCATTCACAGCCCCAATCATAATCTGAGCTGGATATATTAGTGCAAATCACTGTCGCAGCAAAAACATGCTGTTAAAACGGAAAAATGATGCTTACGAATTTAAGGAAAAATACATTAAAGTGGGTTGTATGTTTAATGAAAAACATACAACCCACTCTCAGTATGAATCTATCTTTATTGTCTAACTATCAGGAGTCAAATAAGCACATTTCCTTCAAGCTGCATCTTTTAGGTGACAGATGAGGTATAATTAGGATTTTGGTAATTGTTTTTATTATTAGTCGAGTCATTTCTTAAGCAAAAATGTCAAAATGCCTCTCAAATATGGAAATGTATTAATATATGAGTTTTTATCATTTTAAAGTTAATACCTTTGGGTTCTGGACTCACGAAACAAGTCACTGAACTTTGTAAAACTCTTTTTCGATTCATCTAGAAGATATTTGTCGGATTTATCTTTAGTTACAGCCCTTATTTGTGTTAAATGATTCCTTTGTTACTGACTTCCACCTCAACTTATAACCAATAAGTTGAATGAGCATCCTTAATGATCATGATTAACTTTTTTGTATCTAATGTTAATGTTTTTCCTATTTGTAAAGCACTTTGAATTGCCTGGTGTTGAAAGGTGCTTTATAAATAAACTTGCCTTCCATTGCCTATTTTAAAACTATGATTAGATTACTGCATCGTAAGGTGAACCAAATCCTGAGTTTAGATGATTTGTAACACCTTTTCTTGTATGTCTTCTCTTTGTCCACAGACAACAGGTTCCAGAGCGAAACCAGAAGAAGAAAAAGAAGATGAAATGGAGAGCAGAGCGTTCAGCGGGTACCCACAGGTTCCACTGCGCCATATTGTGACCTCCTGTTTACCATTCGTAACACCCACACACACATCCACACGCACGCCCACGTACCTTTGGATGTCAGGGAACTCCCCAGCAGTGGTTAACTACTGGAGCACAAAAGGGAGGGGGATGCCTGGAAGGAGGAGTGAATCTCAAAATGTGGGACTCTTCACAAAGCCTTTGAATGAGCGCTGTGCCCTCTCTCCTCAATTTATGGTCCCTTTTTTTAAGGTCTATAAATCCCTCCCATCCTCTATTCCACACAGAACAGTTTCACAATGAGGTGTCATTTCTTTGTTCATTTCAACTGAGCCACTAGATGACGGAATCTGGGGGGAAATGATATTGGAACTTTTGTCTTCTTGAAAAAGGAAGAAATAGGGAGGACCCGGCTCATTAGCGCCTCGTTCTTTTTTTACGAAGTAACTCCTGACAAATGGTTCTCACCTTTTATATCCTCACACTCCTACGATATCTGGAAAAAAAGCACCTGTGTGATTTTTAAATATGTTATCATAAGGGCATAGTGGAAGAACATGAGAGGTCAATTTTAGGGAGTCATTAGGCGTTGTCGGCTGGCAAACAGTGAGTGTGGCGGGACACTTTGCCGTCATGCGATGCTCCGGTTTGGGGAATGTCAGTTCAGAGAGGGACGGAAGGATGTGTCAAAGCAAGCGAAAGAAGGGGACGTGATTAGATAACGTGTTTCATATCGGTCCACAGGTGAGCTCTGTGGTCATATAAGCGCGTGGAGTAAGTGTTTAAATATTGTAATTGTAAAGGAGAGTGAGATGGGTTTATGTGGTTACAATATAACGTCAACATAACAGGGTTTATACCAACACTGATGTATCAGCGGCCATGTTTACAGACTTATTAATGAATTATTTCCTCAGCATAAAAACACACACAATATATCAGAGCCATTTTTAAGTGTTTGAAATAATTATTTAGGTTGCCTCTTCAGCCATCAGCAATGGCACGAGTGCAGTCTTTATCAGTACTGTACGGACAATATCCCTATTTGTCTCTTTTTTTAAAGTCTTAAAACAAGTTATTTTCCATGTTTTTGTATCAAATAATATAGAAAAAATACAGTTATATTTGTGATATTAAAACATATAATCATACGTGGCAATGTAAACAAATTCAATGCTGTTTTACAAAGAGATCTGTAGGCGAATATTAACAAAATATAATAGAAAAGGGATAAAGTGAGTGGCGTGTTTCAGATCTGAAGCCGGCTGGAGAAGCTGATTTGCACTGGCCACTAACCAAAATAATGTGATGTCACTTTATTTCAATCTAGGGGGCTTTTTTCAGACCGCACCGCTGAATTCAGGACAATGAATCATGCTCAGCAAAGGAGAACACTCCTTTTGGAAACATTCATACTGTAGCCCTGGGAATACATCAGGCTGTGTGTGAGGCTCCGGGGGCTTAAAGCCAATAAAACCTAGCTAATTGTAGGAGAAGACACACACTCCAAGCAACAAGACATTGAGTATATCCATGTATGTCGCCGTGAGGTGGATAGAAATGTACAATTGAATAACCTATGAAATGGCTTGTACTGTTAACGCACTAAAAGTTTCGGTGGACAACTTTTTTGTCTGGATGAATACCGTCTCTTTAAGGAAATACATTTTTGCACTTTTAATACAATTTCAGACTTTCCTATTTGCATGTTGTTTTTCTGTTCAAAAACCTGTAAGTGAAATGAAAGGCACTGTAAAAAAAAAAAAAAAAAAAAAAAAAAAAAATTTGAATGTAAAATGGAATAACAAAACAAGCAAATAGGCTATTAGTGTTGTAGAGCTGTGTGCCTGTGTGTATGCCTTTGTGTTGATTGTGACAGATTAAATCCATCGGGATTTAATCATTGGAAAGATATTGAAGGAAACGTTTATGTTACTTTGAAAATAAGGAGGTAGAGTATGAATAAAACTCAGTTATTGAATGTTATACAAATTCACCTCAGCATGAAAGTGGAAAATCAACCTCAGCAAAAGAAGGACATCAGTATAAATCAACATCTACTGTTAAAGGGACTCCGAAGACTTTCAAGTGTCGAACATTGAGCAATGAAGCAACAGACTCTGGATTGTGGGGGAGGGAAAAAACAAAAAAAACCTGAATGTGTTTGATGAAAAATGTTGCATCATGTATGTTTGATACCATTTTGTATTATTGATATGAATTATTGATATGATTCTTGCAAAGTGTTTTTTAAACAACTGAATAATTTATTACTGTCTGTTACCTCAGCGTGTCCCAGACCTGGACAGAAAGCTAAACTCACCCCCTCGCCCCTTTTTTGTTTTCTTTGGGGCTCTCAATGGGTCGTAGGCCTTTTGACCTTTGAGCCCCCATATGAAGAGACTTGTAATGTGTCGTGGACCAATAAAGATGAAGGAACCCCGTTTGGTCCTGGAAAAACAAAAGGACCTCTTCTTTACTGGAGCTCATGTGGATGGTCCCGCAAGATAAAATGTTTTCACACAAGCGTCAAAACACGGAAAGTTTGTCGACCAATTTGTAACTATAAATGTGCATTTTTTAAATGTGAAATTTCTTGAAGGTTCAGATTTACATTTTGGGAATCACCCTTATTGACTTTCTTGCTGAAATAGATTACATTTTAAGATACAGCCTGCAGTTGTTAGCTTAGCCTAACTGTAACGAGATGGAAAAAGCTTATCTGGCTCCTTCTTAAAGTAAGAAAATCAGCCAACCAACATTTCCCAAGATCAGTGAGTGTGTTACTTTTAGTTTGTTATACTGTATCTACAAGTTGTGGATTTCTTTCTTTCTTTTTAGGCTAGCTGTTTTAAGTCTTTCTGCTAAGAGCTAAGCTATGCTAACCGTCATGCGGGCTAACTTCTTGTTTAGTGTTCAGAGTAGACACGAGCAGTTGCTATCTTCTCGTCTAATTCTCAGCAGAAAAGTTAATAAATGATTTCCAACAATGTCGCACAGTTCCTTGAAGCGGACTGGACTTGTTGTAGGCTAATTTAACTTTTTGTCTCAGTTCTAGGCTAATTTAACTTTTTGTCTCAGTTCTAGGCTAATTTAACTTTTAGTTTTGAGGTCCAAAATACAGTGCACAATGTGAAAGTTACCTTTCTTGAGTGAATCATTGTGGCTGGTACAAAGAAACCTACTGATTACTTCACATTTCAGGCAGACCAAATACAAAATGCTGAAAGTGAATATAGCGTCCTATTGATTATTCGACCCCTGGATTATATGTGAGTTAAATTGAGCACATTTGTTTCATTAAATGGAGGGGTTGCATTTGTTTTCAAAAAAGACACCAAGTATTGTTGGAGTTATGCAATTGATTTGATTCGTGTATGTCCTGGAACTTTGTCAGTATTTGGCAGTAAAGGCCTTGTTAGGTCTGGATAACAAAAAAACAAAACATGTAGGCTATGGTGTTACACCAGTTGTGTAATCTGTGTTTTTGGACAGGTCTGTTGTGTTCTAACTGGCTGTGTCAGACTGAGGAGCTAGACGAGGCACAAACAAACTGTGGCCTTTTTATCTAGCCTCAGGGGTCGATTATATTTCAATAAAGAAATACAAGTATTGTGACTTTGCATGCTTGACTGGTCTCTGTTTTATTAAAATGCCAAACAACGCTCTAACTGGCTGCTGAACGCCTGTGAACTACAGCCTTGCTGAACACAGCCTCACATGTGACTGAGAGGAATCTTGCTTGTTCAGCAGAAGCTCACCTCATTAATCTTTAGTGTTGTCAGGGTACATTGATTCCAACACCCTGAGGCTGAAAGCCCAATTTTGCCTCATTGATTTAATCCCCCTGGGGGACATGAGGCAGGTAGGATTTTATTGATTTTCATTCATGTTCTTTCAGTGAAATTGGTAAGGAGCGGTACTACCGAACATGAGACGAGACGACGAGATGCAAGAAAGTGTTCAGACTTATACAAAAAGTATAGATATCATTTTACTTGAGTGGTTGATAAGGAACATTGCTGACACATTAGTATACTCAGCAATAATGTGGCCAAGGTAGCATCACTAAAGATGCTAAGGGGCCAGCAGATTAAAACCAAAGTCCTTCTGAAAAACTGTGGAATTTATATCATTAGAGGAACCAGGAAGTACAAAAAAATGTAACACATATTGCCCATACTGAACCTTAAAGTGTCTGTGCTATCTCTGAGTGCTATTCATGGATGTTACCACTAGGGGTCAGCCCTTTGTTGGTTACTTATCCTCTCTTGGACACACACATGTTTGCACAACAAAGTAAGGTAAGGTACGTTTAATCAGAGGCGCGGGAAGGTATTTTGAGTGGGGGTGCTGAGGTGCTGGACTCCAGTGAACACTATTACGGGCACTATCTAGAGCACGTGCACAAAAGCGCGAGCACCAGGGGCGCTACAGTGGAATGTTCTACTGCAACACTCCCCACACGCAAACACCAACCCAGTCTCATGGCATTTCATGTTCACCAACACGATTTTTAATCTATTGATTCGTGTTCACCAACACGATTTCCCCATTTTTTTTCGTGTTGCACAGCACGATTTTAAAAGCAATGTATTTCTACGGGTAATGTGTTTCGTGCCTGCAGCATGTCTTTTTCTCCGGTCGGGTCGTGGAAGACCGGAAGCTGTGTGGTTCATAAAATGTTCTTACTCAATATCAAGCCACAATTATTGCTTTTATTTTAGATCGTATAATTTCTGACTTTTGTTGCCGTCTGTGAGGAAAATAAATGGGGCTCAGAGCCTCAGGATACTGAAATCTGTATTTTTAAAATCTTTTTTTCCTTCTCATTTGTTATTATTTTCAAAATAACACACTGTTATTTACTCACCAATAACACACAATTATCCTTGCTTGTATTTATTGCTTTAATTTCATAATCTCATGCTTTTTTGGCGTCCGTCAGGAACTGAATTTCAAAATAAAAATAACCGAAAACAGACGTAGGCATTTCGAGCGATTACCCAAGATCCTCAGCTATGGTTTAAGCTCGCTGATTGGATGTATTAGCCGCAATGCATGCTGGGATTTGGTGTTTTTATGATATGAAATCCGTAAAACATTTTAAAAGAATACAATAATACTTAATTCCGAGTGTTCTTGCTTTTCTCTTTGAAAGTCATCACATAACGGCATTGTAATACACGGTTCGGCTGCATTAAATATTACAGATCTGCCGTAGTTCTTTATTTATAGAGCCCTGATGAGAAGACCTTTGGAAAAACTGGAAGAAATGCCGCCGAAACTGAATACTTGACGTGGATCATAAATATATCAACAATTAAACAACATCTTCAATTTCTCTTCACACAATACGTCTCCTTGCAGTATCAACACTAATTCGGCTGACTTTTACATTTGATCTAATTCGTAGATAGGTTATATTTACACCATAACGGTGCACAGCTGATATAAAAGGACTTGTAGTTTTTAAAGATAGTGTCCTACACCCATACATACACCTTGTGTGCACCGCCTAGTGGTTAAAGCACGTTATTGAATTATTGTTTTTATGTGTTATATTTGATTAAAAAAATAATAAGAGTACATACTTTCATAGGGGGAAAGTAGGTCAATGATAGAAATATAGAATATATTCTCAGGCTATTAGTGTTCAGATGAAAAATATGTAGTCCATTTTTGTTGCTTAAATGCACAATGTCGTCAGCTTGCAGATATTTGTCTTTGTCCGTTACAGCAACCGGCTTGCGGCCTGCCGTGGTGTTTGGAGCGGTGGGGTGGTGGTGGGGGGAGGGAGGCTCCGTTGTAGCTTTAGCCATTGATATGCTAGCAGGGTGGCTAACAACATGGCTAACAACATGGCGGATATTTGTTCCCTCGGATCTCGGTTCTCTTCCTCTCGTCACTGCCTCATGCGTGTCTGTCTGCCGAGGCGTCCCCGGGGGAATGTCGAAGTCTCCGTTTATTCCTCGGTCTCCGCTGTCTCCACGGTCTCTGTTGTCGTCGCGTAGTTGTTGCTGCAGCGGAAGAGATGCTAGTTGTGATGCTAGCTCCTCGAGCATGCAGGACTGGCTTCTTGTCTGCACCGGGCCCGGATTCAGATGGATGTCTCCCGCTAACAATAAGACCAAGACGATCATACTTCTTCGGTCTAGTTTGCCTGACGGGGGTAAGTACTTTCGCGTCGGGTTTGCAGTTAATAATGCATGAATGCTTGCACTTCCAAAAGCGAGGTGTTTCCTTTCCCAGCCGTTGAGAAGGTGTGGTTCATTTTATCCCCGCTTTCATTACTCTCCTTCTCTAAGTGATGTTGCATTGATGAGTTGAGGTAGGAGTCCATAATCCATATTGTCAGGAGGATGAAATATGTAAAAAATCGTGAGGAATAACCTCCAAAGCGGGAGCTCTCGGAAATGCGACCACTCATAGCGAAACCGGATGCATTTGCGAAACCGGATGCACCAGAAGGAAAAAAAGATTTTAAAAATACAGATTTCAGTATCCTGAGGCTCTGAGCCCCATTTATTTTCCTCACAGACGGCAACAAAAGTCCGAAATTATACGATTTAAAATAAAAGCAATAATTGTGGCTTGATATTGTGTAAGAACATGTTTTTATGAACCACACAGCTTCCGGTCTTCCACGACCCGACCCGAGAAAAAGACGTGCTACAGGCACAAAAAACATTACCCGTAGAAATACATTGCTTTTAAAATCGTGCTGTGCAACACGAAAAAAAGGGAAAAATCGTGTTGGTGAACACGAAATGGCATGAAACTGGGTTGGAAACACACAGTACACCCGCGACTGTTACAATGAAGGCTCGGCACAGCGCTATATAGAGAGAAGAGTTACGACAGCGGAGGACCAAAATGCTTGATCGTCACGTGGTTCAGGGAGACTCAATAGTTCCCCGGAAGTTCGTGGTGGGACATTTGAATGCATGCTTACTGGAGATAGAACTACGATTTTTGGTAATAAGTAGTGAATAAAGGTTTTGATTTGCAATATTTATACAACATATCGATGTGTATGTATTTACATCAATATTTGAAAAATAAATTAAATTTGATAATATTTGAGGATTAAGATAAAATAAGAAGTACTTTATTGATACCAATTTGGGAAATGTTTGCTTTGCAGCAGCAAAAGACAAGGCATTGTACATAAGACAGTTAAAAGACTAGAATTAAACAATCGAAAATGTAAACATCTCAAATAGAAATAAAATAGCAGAAAATATACATAGTGTGAACAGCTATCTTACCTGTTAACATATACATGTTAGGCTAACGTTGCCTTGGTTAAAGAGCCTGTTGCTGTTGTTTATTGCTTTGAATTGTTTAAAACAAATATTATCTTCTTAAACTTGAATGGTAGTCAGGAGCATCACTTCCTAATGTTTGATATATTTAGAGGGAGGGAAGGAAGGTTTCAAAATTCAGATTTAGATTCATTTCTACAATTTCTTTAATTCATGGTGGTTTCAGTAATCCCCTGGTAATTAAATAAATAAGTAATCTAAATGAGTAATGTCTTCTTTATGACTTTCAGAAAGGACAGGAGACCGGCAGGTGCCTATCAATGATTGTCAACTGACAGTAAATAAATGAAATTCAATAAACATTGAATAGCATGCATGCAGTTTGTCTGTGCCTTTTCCTCCATGTTGTCCGGCATATAGTCTCCCCCATGGTTTGCTGTGCTGCCTGGGGATGCTCCAATCGCTCAGAGAAAGGAGTACACATGTAAAGTTTCCCCACTGACACAGAGAGGAGGAAAGAATGGCTGGCTCAAGTCAGCAGGAGCAATTTAACTATCACAAAAGACAACAACAGCAACAACATATGTGAGGTAATCATATTTTTCACAAAACGAAGACCACACCATTGGGAAGCTTAACGTCTGTTTAATAAAAATAAGGAACAGGGAGAGGCTTGCAAAGCTCTGGGAGTTGAGACTCAGGTGCAGGGTGAGGGTCTCATTGCAGGTCTTCAGGCTCCATTGAATCCCCCTGGGGTTCTTGTACTGAAAGAGGGAGACAGGAGAAAGGGTTAGATACATCGAGCAACCTATAGGATGGGAAATTGCTGACCTATTTTAAACGTACCTTGTGTTTTCACTCTCACTTAAGTCCCTCTCCCTTTGCCATCAATCCAACATCAGCTGAGCTGCAACATAATACAGACAGGTAATAATCAACAGAATCACAAAGACATAATATGACTCTGCTAAAAACACTCACCCATAAGTTATGTTTTTGTTTACTGTTTAGAAGTCTCAAATATCCACTCTAAATCCATATCAATAGCGATGTATCACAAAAATAGCTCTCTTCCTTATTATTGTGTAACGTTAACTATATTATACTAGCTTGAACTCCAAAATGGATATCCTCATTACACCACCTCCACCCACTACAATCACACGCCCAAATGTTATATTTAACTAATATGTAACTCCCTCCACCCCGGATAAAAGCACGTTAAGAAGCCCCTTTTCTCTAATTCCACAACGTTGGAGGAAATAACATTAGGAGAACGGATTAATAGGCTGTTCGTGGTTAACGTGTGTTGCTAACTTTATCCGACATTCTAGCCTAATCTGTTATCTG